GGGTGTGGGTGTGGGTGGTGTGGGTGGGGTGTGGGTGTGGGTGTGGGTGGTGTGGGTGTGGGTGGGTGGGTGTGGGTGTGGGTGGGTGTGGGTGTGGGTGTGGGTGGGTGTGGGGTGTGGGTGCAGGTGCATGTGAATACGTGATGGGGTGTGGATGTGGGTGCGGATGATCCCGCATTCACATACACCTGCACCCACACCCCACATCGACACCCCACACCCACACCCCGCACCCACACCCACTCCCACACCCTCACACCCAGACCCACACCCACACCCTGTTTCTGCCATTTGCCCTAGTCCAGCTATGTGATTGTCTGTGCCGCTCATGAGCATTGATCGAGTGGGTGAACAGGCCGAAGCTGTATGAAAATCGGTGAATCGAGTTCCACTGTTGGCGAGTAGTTCAATATTAGGAGTATGAATTTCACCACCAACTGGCGATGTATCCGGACAACCGAGATCATCAGCGACAATTACTAGAAAATTTGGAGGCCTATTTGCTTCTGGATGAGGTGTCTTGTTGATTGTGTCAGCTATTACATATTCTGGCAAAGTGCATACTGGAAAAAACAGATGTTAAAAAGGTAAACAAATGTATTTGGACAGTGCATAATTTGTGTCACTGTCAGATCTTGAGTAAAATTACACAAAAATTAATCGGAACAATAGCACCCCGATGCATTTATGGATCTCAAATACTGTTAAACAGAACAAAAATTTTCATCATTTCACACTACGAAATTCATCTAATGAAGAGACAAAGTATTTAGGTTGAATTACCGGCAGAAATCAATATTTTTATTATCGCTTATTACTTACAGTAGTGAGATAATGCTATCTTATGAAATCATAAAGTAAGAGAGGAATTAGATAACTTACTTGTAAGAGTAATAGACGCAAACAGGAAAAAGTGCAATAACAGAATGATCGTGCGAAACATGATGAACAGTTCGATGCTGAGAATAGATATAACTGTGACAATTTCTGGTGAAACCAACACTACTAAGGAACTAGTATGTGTACATTTTATTTCAATATTAGGAATCGTAACTATACTGTATTTTCTCGCTCCTAATATACTACAAGAGGCAAGAGAAAAATCACGCGTTAAGAATATGTACGCGAGAAGAGTACATGAAAGAACAGATAAATGTATGCAACGAGGACAAACCAATACTGTAGTTCTAAAGTACACAGAAGCAGAATGAAAAGAATGTAATTAAGATATGGATAAATAATAAACAGAGAAGAAGATATCACAGACATTTCACTCGAGGATAAGTAACAACCCATATACAATGACTTGTGTGCAGACGATATTTGTTACAGCGAACAAGACATTATATGATCATGGATATTTTAGATGTGTAGTACAAAATGTGAGACGAACTACTTACTAATTAACAAAAAAAATTATAGATGATCCTATTAGAAGTTGTATGTATTCTATATATATACATATGTTGCGGTCAAAATAAAAGTTCAGTTAACATTGAAATTTCTTTTTCTGAACAGAAGCAAATGAAGAAAAAAGGAGAAGGTTAAATTTTATTAAGTTAACATAGGAACATCATTGTAATTTTCGAGAAAACAATTGTCGAATTAAATTGGCGTAGCGGAAGCTGATAAAGAAATTTTAGAAGATCGTACGACGAGGCAATGGAAGTTGACGAAGGGTTTAGAAAAACGTTTTTATTAAACGAATTTTACCCTGAAAGTTCATGTGATTATATAGGAATTTTAAGAATCTCATGGGTTATGATGGAATAGACAATTTTTTTTCTGATGTGACGACGAAATTTTTCAAACTCATTTCGTCTGGAACCTTGACCTGTACCATTTTAGCCATCATCTGACAGGAATAGTATCTAAGTATAACTTTTCTAGACTAAGAAATATGCAGTTTCATTGAACGAAGAGACATTTTCATTAGGATATGAATACTTGAAAACTTTTAATTTTTTAACATCAGAATTTTGAGATAACAATTTTTCTTTCATTTATTTAATATAAATCGTTATATAGTTTATATTTTTATCCTTTGTTAGTTAGGGATATTTGATTATTCTCTTTCTTTTTTATATTCAAATGTTATTCTTGCACTTGAATTATTTCTTTCGTTCTCTTCGTTGGATATTTTCTTTTCTTTCTTTTATATATATATGAAATTTTTCATTCCATGAATATCTCGCTTTCGTTATGACTGTATTATACAGAAAATAAATTTCATATTTATCTATTTACATATTTCTGAATAATTTTATAAGTCTTGCTTTTTATCAGTTATTTTCAAAACTTTGAACAAAAATGTATCAGATTAAAAAACTTCATTGTTCGATAAATAATATTAACGAATGTATGATAGTAATTAGATTTAAAAAATAATAACATTTATTATGAATAACAACATAGTAAGTCTTTAAAAATTATTTTCATTTTTAATAATAATAAATTTTCTTTTTCACTCGTTGATAATGAAACTTTTGAGTTTGAAAATTGAATTTTATTAATGATATGTTAATGTTTAAAAGTAAAATGAATAATATATAATTTTTAATGATCGAAAGTATAAAAGAGAAAAAAAAAGGAAAAAATTAAAAGATTTGATTCGATGTCGATGTTATTTTGATCTTTCATTTAAAATTATTCTTAACTACGAGATTCGACCCTTAAAAATATTTTTATCATAATGATGAACAGTATCTTAAACAAAAATATTGAATTTCTTTCTGGTAGATTAGAACAGAACTAAGACATGATCTTCGTATGATAAATTAAAGCTAGATAATGACCTCCTTATAGTAAAGTAAGACTAGAGTAAGAGAATATATAGGAATCTATTCGTCAGACTTATTGATATGGTCTGATCTCTTACGGGCAGAACTATGTCATGCCTCTCCGATCGTTCTTCTTTTATTTTATCTTCTATTAATTACCATTGGGATGACTCATTAGTGTGCATGTTCTATGTGGCCTATTTTTCTTCTTTTTCTTGTTATTATATGTATATGTGTTTTGAAATGATATAGAAATAAAATTTTTCTTTTCTTTAAGAATATTTTGCGCTTTTAGAATAAATAAAATTTTGATTTCTTCTCGTATTATGGTTTAAGAAGAATTAATTATAACTTTATATTCTTTATTTGTATTACGATTTCTTTTGATGGAATGTGTTATCATTATCTATATATATTATTCTTTTAGATGAGTAATTGTTCGGATCAAACTTCTAATTCTAATTCTAATCATTTATTATTTTATTGTCATAGTGGTGAATTATTATGGGGTCAATTACATTGTATCTGTGAAGGTTATTTTAATCGTCGTTATAATCAATATGATAGTCCTCAATCTATACCTGAAATATTGCCAGGTGGAACAATAAAACAACGTTCATATAAATATCGATGTCGAGCTGCTAAAGGTGATTGGCAAGCTAAATTATATCGTACTCGATTGACTTTGGAATCTGAACCATTTAATTCAGGTTATATTATCTATAATATTAATCATAATCCAGTTGAAATATTACGACGTTGTGCTGCTGTTGGTAGCTCTCTTGATCAAACCCATAATGATTGTAGTATTATATATATAAATCGATATGATTGGTCCTCGCATCATGATTATGAATTCGAATATAAGATTAATCAATTATTAGGTATTCATGATAGCAATTTTGACGGTGATAATCCATTGAAAAGTTTATTTGCTCAACGTATAATGATTATTGACTCAGAGTCGGCTATGAATGTTATTCAACAATTAAAATCTAATCCAACAGAACTTGAACAATCTCAAGAGAAAGTATTTATTCATATTCGTAATAAATCGAATAATCCAGTTGGATTACATTTATCAATTCCTAATACTGACTATGAACTTGCATGGTTAGTATTCAGTAATGATCAGCCTAATGCAGAGTTAATTGGAATTGTCTATGATGGAAGTTATACTAAATTAGATGGTCAAATTATACTCAATCAAGAAGATATTGTCAGTTGGAATGAATATGAATTAAAAGAACAAGAACGAGCCCGTATCCAAGCCGCTCTCTTGAAGAAATTACGGTCTGATATTGATATTCGTACAATAATGAATAATCGTGGTCATAAGACTATCGAACAATTAGCCAATCAATTTATTGCACAAGGATTTACATTTCATGATAGTATTGAAATAGTACTGAAATACAGTGAAAAGTATAAAGATTTTCAATCAATTGTTGTCACCATACAAAACAAATTAATGGAACGTACTGAAAATAATAATTTATTCGGACGACCTGCTGGAATTACAGAAACATAGCAGCTGGTGTTTGTCTCGACTTCAACAGCAATACCAGACATGTCAACATCTTAAAATTGACTCATATATTTATTATTATTTTTTTTTTATGATTGATTGATTATTGCAACTGATGACTATTACAGATTAATAAATCTCAGATAGACTGATTTTCAATATATGTCTGTTTAATTAAATAAATAGAAGTACAAAGAATATGATAATGAAATATATACCGATTTAAATTGACATTAATTAGAGAGTTAGTTATATTGATGTTGAATAGGAGAGAATGAGAGCATTGAAATGATGAAAATAAGACCTGATACTTAAAAAAAAAACAAAAAGTGATCAGTTTTTTACATCTTTGATTCGAGATTATAATATATACTTCAAGGTTTGAACCGAATGAATTTTGTGTCTGATCCAATCCGGCCGGTTCATATTCGGCGTTAAACTGACAAAAGCAAATAAATATCTAACAGTTTGTTCTCGAAGATAATAACAATAACAAGAAACGATTTTTGTGAATATCTTGTAACAGTTCCTAATTTATAAGCAGTATACGTTAAGAAACATTCACCTTCATATAGTGCCGAAACATACTTCGATTTTCAAGTCAATTTGAAAAAGTTAAATCGTTTAAGTCTATCTGCTCATTTCTAATTAATCAAATAGAATAACAATAATAAACGCAATGAAAAAAAATTCTCCTGCTTATTTTCCTTCTTAAAGTTGCTAATTAGAGAAAGTAAGAAAATATTATCGAGAGTGTATAAAGCAAGAAGATGACTGTATTTTTTCTTTCATTCTTTTTTCGTTTACTTAATCTTTTTCTGACTGATATTACGATCAAAGCTGTACATATTGGTTTTTTTTTATAGTGATCAATATCAAACATCGCTCTTACCACTTGTTTTTCGATATTTGAATCCCGTTGTTCACCTCTATCACTATCACGGTCTTATCGATCCATAATCAAGCATATAACAAGAAGAGAAAGAAAAATGTTAAATTCGTCTGTATGTATGCTGTCATATACAAATCTCTACACTGTTTTTCGAAATGAATCTGAAGAAGACAGTATCGCTCCCCAAATACAACAAAATCAAGAGGAAGGCGAAGGGAATCTTCAAAAATTTCATCTAAGTTCGTAAATGTGTTGATATAGGTTCGATGTAAAGAACTCGAATGCAGATTTTGCTGAGAAGTGATATTATCTGTTCTTTTCTTTTGATTCAACTATGTTACTTATATCATTCGAAGCAAGTATTTTTTGCCGTCTTAATGCAACACATGAGTAGTAAAGGAAAAGAAATAGCCATCAATTTTTTTCTCTGTTTCTCTATAAAGAATAAACATTAATCATATTTCAAGTCAATCTACAGTTACATGTTGCTTTGTATGTTTGAACTACAGTTCGTTTTCTCTTGATGTGTTTGTTTTAGCATTATCAGTTGTATTTTTTGCTCACAACAACTTCAGCGAAATAAAAACACTCGAAATCAATGCTTTCATAAAATGGTATTTGTTCTTACTCCTATTTATCTACGAACTATTACGGTTTACTCTTCAGACAGAATAACACAGGATAATGTATTTTATTTAGGATAATAGAATTCTCATTCTTTTGGATTCCTGCTCCTGTAAAACGCGCACCCATTGCACAGCTAATTATTATGTCATTTCTAATATAACAGAATGTTCATATATCATTTTACTATTTTTTCGGCAGTTAGTTAGCGTGTGTTCTGATTTTCTGGGAATCCGAAATTACATACGCGTCTCCATTCTTTGTAATATCTATTTGTGTTCCTCTTTTCAAATAACAAAACTCAGCTTTCTGGTTTATTCAATTTCCATAGAAGAATCTGATACCATGTATCTATTCATCAAAGTGATACTAGTCTTCGATTCTATTTAAAGTCAAGAAACATCTGATACTAATTGGGATTTTCGAGAATATTAGAACAGTTAGTATACTAGGTTGGAAATAATATTTTGATAGGGGAGTACCGCTATAATTTCAAATTGAAGACATAATGAATTTTATATCAAATGAAAGCCCGTCAAAAACGGGATTTATTAATAGTAAATAGTAAGGATTATGAAAACTCCTTAACATCGAACTTAAGAAACTTTCAGAAATTTTATACTTTTTTTGCTGTGGAAAAGTAAAGTGCCAGTAATTGAAAAAAGGATTAAAATGTTTTTCTTGGATATTTTTACATGATTCGATAGAACTCTTCGAGCTCTACAAAACT